GAAATCATTATTTACACGACATTCGAAAGGGTTGGTCAAGAAAGAAGGTAGCAAGGCAGAAAGGAAAGATGAAAAGAGCGGGGACTTGATGAAAGAGGAGAGGTAGGAAGGGAGGGAAAGAAGGCTTAAAGAAGGGGGAAGGGAAAGGAAGGGAAGGAGCCTTAAAGAGAAAGGGAGATGGGACTTAAATAGGAAAGAGAGAGGGAAGGGAAAGGGAGATCAGAGAGAAAATGGTGATGAGGGAGGAAGGGAAATGCGTAAGAGGGTGAAAATGGTGGGTGAGGTTAAACAAGAAGAGGAGGGGGCCGATGTAGAGCTTAAAGTAGGAGGAAGGAAGGAACATTCGAGAGAAAGAGTTGTAGAGCGGTTAGGAGAGAGGGGAGGGAAAGGAAAAGGCAGAGGGGAAGCGAGAGGGAGAAGGAGGAGGGTGAGAGGAGAGGGGAGGGAAGAAGTACTTCTATTTCCCTTGAAATTTCCGCTAGCTGTTGCTGTTAATCTAATCTGTTTATGTTGTTCCTATTGTTGTTATTATCATCATAATATTCATCATCTCCATTGATCTTTATAATAATTACTGTAATTATGACAATTATTATTAATTCGTTATCATGGCCATTGTTATTTCAGCACGTTTTCTCATAACATGCTACGATTACCAAATTACCTCTATTTTTTCTTGATGTCCATCTATCTCTGTATTTCTGCTTAACCCTATCTGTCTATGCATTCATTTTATATGTCTCCGACATATCTAGCCCACCTATTTATCCCTGCAGTTATGTGTTTATATATCTATTCTCCACTTTCCTTTTCTTCTTTTCTTCCCTCAGTTTATCCGTCTATTTCTTGTTTTTTCATATATTCCTACTTTTCTCTTCTCCTTCTACTCTAAAATAATTCCATTCTTCTTCCCTTATCTATGCTTCTCCTCCTTTTCCTCTTCATAGTTATTAATGTTTATGATTTCAACAAATTTTTTTGTCATAAGTATTTCTTGGTTTTGGGATGATCCATCCTATTTATTGTATTTACCTTCACTATCATTATGTACACACACACACATACACACACACACACACATACACACACACACACACATACACACACACACACATATATATATATATATATATATATATATATATATATATATATGCGCACACACACACACACACACACACACACACACACACACACACACATTTATATATATATATATATATATATATATATATATATATATATATATATATATGTATATTTATATATATATATATATATATATATATATATATGTATATATATATATATATATATATATATATATATATATTTGTGAAGCAAAAGCTATTAAGCAATAAGTAAATCAAATATAGCGATATCTTTACGTCTTAACCCATTGGCCACGGATTTATGTTCTGTCCCCTGTTGGTTTTGGTGAATTTTGCTACCTACAGATGGCTCCACATGTACTCAGCCGGCAAGGAGTCTATCAGTAGGCCCTAGTTACCGACCCTGATTTTCCCATTCATTGAATTGGCGGGAAAATTAATATCATTGCTTTCGATGCTGTTATTATTGTTACTGATGTTATGATGATTTAATTGTCATTAGAATATTTTTGACAATGAGATGATACAAAAAACCCTTTCCGAAAGTGAAGGAAAAGGCTAAACAGGTGAAATAGGTAGTTCTTGATAACTGGCTATTTGGTGATTAAGAACTTGTAGAGCCATCTATGTGTAAATACAATAAATAAACGTGTATCAAAGTGGGTATGGCATCTATTCTTGCCATCCGCGGCGAATGGGTTAAAATGCAGCACTAGCCCACATGAACAGAAAGGCAGAAAAGCAGGGAAAATGGTCTGTTGAACGTCTATTATACAATAATCAACAGTGTTTACAGCATATCATCAGGGATGACTTTCTTTTGCCGCACGTTTATACATGAACATATAAGATATTTAACAATTTATATATATATTTGGTATTTTTTTGTCTATTTTTATGTGACAAAGGAGCCCACTGACCAACAGCCCGTGACCCATCGCCGCTCTAGTTGGCAGGCTCCCCTCGAAGGCCAAGAAGAACTCGCACGAAGACCCGGATGTTGCACTGGGGAAATCACCTGAAGAGCCGAACGCTTCCGGATATGGGAGACTGGCTCTTACACAGGTATGGTTTCGGATGAAGCTTCAGGTGGAAAAGGTTCTACTTTTTCTCGTACTTCTTCCTGTTTTATAATATTTAGTTATAGCTATAGTTTTACAATATTTATTTATCACTGTCTACCCTTTTTATTAATTAAGTATTCATTTATTACTTTGTATAGTCAGCTTGTCCAAAATGGTAAGCTGTAACAACAGTCCAAGTTTATGTTAATGCTATGTTCGAGATCAGCACAAACACCATACACAAGCACCGATTCCCAACCACCCCCCATATCTCTCTCTCTCTCTCTCTCTCTCTCTCTCTCTCTCTCTCTCTCTATATATATATATATATATATATATATATATAATTATATATATATAATTATATATATATATATATATATATATATATATATATATATATACATATATGTATAT